CATCACCTAATGGATAGGCACCCACCACCCATGCATGTCAAGAAGGATCTTCATGATCTGGAGGGAGAGAGATCCAAAGGTACAAAAGGGAGCCTCTAGATCAACAGGCCTATCAAGCAGGATTGTGTCGTATTCACACGGATGCAGTTGAGAAAGCAACTCGATAATATCGTGTGAATACAATCCTTGGAGATCGGCCGCCTACGATAGCAGCGGAAGAACAGTAACTACCACGACAAAGCAAAGTGACCGTGGCACGGCGGAGATCTGGATGGTGTAGCCGCCTCAATTCATATTGGGCACCACTTGACGGCTCAATTAACAATATCTGCTCGCCACGTGGTAATGGTCCTCAATGATAAAAGCAGAGCCAGATTAAGATTAAATAAAATACACAGCAGTACAAGAGCTATTATGTGCAGTCCAATAAAAATATACATTTACTAGCATAGGCCCGCTACGTTGTTAGCGAAACTTTTTATAGTTAAATAAATAAACATTATTTTAGCTACGCAATATACTTTTGGATTAAGTACAAATTTGAAACATTTTTATTATAGGTTTTATATCTTAATAAGTTTGTTTTAATCTCAGATCTTACTCCGTATTTCTTTCGTACAGAAACGTTAATGCTTCTATCCTACTAAATCGAGTACAAGTTCTGTAAGTTTACTATTTTCTCGATCGTCCCGATGGACTGATGTAAAAAGTTCTATAATACTGTGTTAACCTTTTTTGTTCCTTCCGGTAATTTAATACTAATGGTAAAATATCTAGTTCGTTTTAGTACTGATAGTAGTACCCTTATAGTACAAATTACAATTTTGCACAGCGCATCATTTTTTATTCAGAGACCTGCCTTTATAGTGAAGATTTCCATTAAAATTGCAGAAATTTAGTATTTCTGGTGCGTTACGTATTACAAAATACTCAATGGTATTGTCGGTATTTTTAGTATATCCTCATAATAATGATCCAGCCCATTATTCATTACATCAAAAGATCGATCCAATGTGGTTGGAAACATCATTGGAAATATCAGTATTGTTATTTTAGAAAATTTGGAACTTTAGCATTTAAAATTGACTACACTTTAGTACTTGTGATGTTCAGCGGCTTATTGCATAGTTTCACTTATTTGTATTTGAAGTCTCGCCTGTTTTTCACTATACTAGAAAATTCACATAATCATTCGCTGTAGTATAGATTCATGTTGGATTCGAAACTTTATTTCATATAACCGTATATATTTCCATTAAACATTTTATTTACCATAGTCAAAGAGTAATACTTAAATTCGGATATCTTTCTCTAACATTTTCTATTTAGTACTTTTTACTAAAAATTAAAAAAAAATACTTTTTTTAATTTGTTTAAACAAAATATACATACAAAATTTCAGGACTCTACCTCTACTCGTTCTGTCGTATAAAATATTTAGTACTTTAAGTACAAATGTCAAACAATATTGCCAAAAGCATTGATTTTATATCCACCCGTACCGCCGTATACAATGTGTTGTACTTTTTAGTACATTTTAGAAGTTATTAATGCAAAATTTGTATGTATAAATTGTTATTGTCATAGTTCCAGATAATTATTTAATAACAGGTTCCTATCTTCATCCATTCTACCGTATACAATATTTAGTACTTGTATTCGATTCGTATTCTATTTGTTTATAATATACAAAAAATGTTCCCATACTGTGCAATATTTTGTATTAATGATGCCATTTAGTACGAATTTTCAATAAACCAAGCCTGTTAATTATAGTTGGACATTTTTGTACTCTAAATTTACATTTATATTTTTTACCATTCACTATGGTACAATATTTAGTACAATTTTGTGCATATCGGTCTATTTGTAATAGTTAAGCTACATACTAAATTTCAGATCTCAATCTATGACTTTTCCATTATAAGTTAATATTTTGTACCAGTTTAGTACAAATTTCAAAAATATATTAATATATAGCATAGTATTTGTAATAATTAAATCTATGTGCCGTGTTTCAGATTTCTATTCCTACCGGTTCCATTATACTACAGTATTTAGTACTAATTCCAAAAAGTTATGCTTAGAGTAAGCTACATACAAAATTACAGATTTCTATTTCTACCAGTTACATTGTATTTACATATTTAGTACTTTTTATCGCAACTTTCGTGCTATTTTCAAAAAAAAAAAAATGGCATAGTATTCTATTTGTAATAGTTAAAGCTATATGTGAAATTTCAGAACTTTTTAATATATTCTAGTACTAATTTAAAAAAAAAATATGTTTGCCCATCATTCTACTTGTAATACCTTAAGTTACATACCAAATTTCAGATATCTATCCCTACCTATTTCATCGTAGTATAATATTTAGTACTAATTTGCAAAATTTGTTCACACATTCTGATTTGTTTATAAATGACAAAGCTGCATACCAAATTTTAGAGTTGTAGTTCCAACCGTTCTGGCGTAATACAGTTTTTAGTACTATTTAGTACCATATTTGTTCTAATTTCCAAAAAATATTTTTTGTACATCATTTTATTTTTAATGACTTAAGCTACATACCAAATTTCAGACATCTATCTCTACATTTTCCATCGTAGTATAATATTTAGTACATTTTAGTACCTTTAGTACTAATTTCCATAACTTGTTCACAAATTCTGATTTGCTAATCACTGACAAAGCTGCATACCAAATTTCAGAGTTCTACTTCCAACCGTTCCGGAGTAATACAGTTTTAGTACTTTTTAGTACCTTTTAGTACTAATGTCCAAAAAATATTTTTGCACAGTATTCTCTTTGTAATGGCTTAAGCTCCATACCAAGTTTCAGCTATGAATCTTCACCAATTCCATTCAAATACAATATTTTGTACTTTTTAGTACATCTAAGTACTAAATTCCAAATTTTTTCACAAATTCTAGTCCGCTCGCCATAGACAAAGCTACGTGCCAAATTTCAAAGTTCTACATCTAACCGTTCCCGCGTAATACAGTTTTTAGTACCTTTTAGTACGAATTTCCAAAAACCCCGCCTTATCACACGCCTACTCACCAAACCCCACCTACATGCCAAATTTCAAGCTTCTAGCTTTAGCCGTTTCGTCTGGGCGTTGATGATCAGTCAGTCACTTATAACGCAACTCTTTTATATATATAGATAAAACCAACGTCTAGTACCCGAAAACAATATTTTGAAAAAATGCACCCTTATGTCCCTGAAAAAAACATCTATTTCAGAAAAATACATTTAAACCAGTAAGGAAAGTAGTAAAGTCGGGCTGGGACGACTATATGATACCCTTCACCAGCAACGTACTCAGAATTTCATTTCGGGGGGGGCCCGGTAGTACAAAATGGAAAAATTCGCTGCTGCGAACATAAATTTTCTGTGAAAAAAATTCTTTTCGGGGGGGGCCCGGGCCCCCCGGGCCGCCCCCCTGCGTACGTCCCTGCCCTTCACCACTTTGGGTATATTTTACATATGTATCCTAACAGACGACGCGTTTTGTTAAAGATCTATATCTGAACCGATTTCAGGGAACTTGCCAGAGACTAATTTATATAACATCAGTACGTTGTGTCAATCGGCCTAGCTATGGATCTTTTCACGAAGCTTAGCAACATCTTTCTAGACTTAATTCAGTACCCTATACCAAAATTCGTGCAAATCGAAAGATATATAGGGACTTTGGTGCACCAATTACCTTAAATCGGATGAAAATACATATGGGACCTATATCTAAATCTGAACCGATTTTCACGAAACTTGGCAGACATCATTCTCAATCTTATTCATAACTCTGTGCCAAATTTCGTGCACATCAAAAGATTTCCAGGGACTTTAGTGGACTATTTACCTAAAATCGGGTGAAATTATATATGGGAACTATATCTAAATCTGAACCGATTTTCACGAAACTTAGCACACATCATTCTATACTTAATTTAGTACGCTGTGCCAAGTTTCGTGCAAATCGAAAGATATAAAGGGACTTTGGAACACAATTAACCTTAAATCGGACGAATATATATATATATATATATGGGAGTTATATCTAAATCTGAACCGATTTTCACGAAACTTGGCAAACATTATTCTAGACCTTATTCATTACGCTGTGCCAAATTTCGTGCAAGTCAAAAGATTTCCAAGGACTTTAGTGGACTATTTACCTATAATCGGGCGAAGCTATATATGGGAGCTATATCTAAGTCTGAACCAATTTTCTCAAAACTTTGCACAAATCATTCGTGACCTTTTTCATTGCGCTGTGCCAAATTTCGTGCAAATCGAAAGATATATAGGGGCTTTGTACACAATTTACTTTAAATCGGACCAAAATATATATGGGAGCTATATCTAAATCTGAACCGATTTTTCCCAATTTCAATAGGGTTCGTCCTTGGGCCAAACAAATGAGCTGTGTCAAATTTCATCCAATTCGGATCATAAATGCGAAAAATTGCATCCAATTCGGATCATAAATGCGACCAGTACTTTGTTTACAATTTAACCTGGACAGACGGACGGACGGACATGCATAAATCGACTTAGAAAGTGATTCTATGCATATTCTCAAATGGAACCATGGGTCTATCTCGATTATTTTTGCCTGTTACAAAAATATGCACAAAGACATAATACCTTGTACCACAGCGTGGTGAAGGGTATAAAAATCCACGTTTACGTCTAGTCCATGAAAAAAAATGCCCGCCTATATCTAGTCCTGAAAAACTGTTTTTAAATAATCGACCCGTATGTCCCTGAAAAATGAAGGGTATAAAAATCCACGTTTACATCTAGTCCATGAAAAAAAAAAATTCCCGCCTATGTCTCGTCCCTGAAAACAAAAATTAAAAGAAAAAATCTCGCTTATGCCTCTAAAACATTTTTTAATCAAAATCCCCAATTATGGCTTTAATAGTACAGTATTTTTTTAAATAATAAAATTCTCAAGATATTTAATGCTTGCAGTAATTGAAATCTATTTAAACAGTAATTTCAAAATGTATATAATTTTTGTTCGATTTCAAAAATGCCTTTTGTATATTGATGTTGACTGCCAGATCTACGAGATTCGTGCTGCTGAAGTAGTCCAAAGTTACAACATTTGCCGTTTTACCCCAAGGTCCACGTAACCAATTCGAAATTTTCGAGTTAATGTGTAAGGCACGTTCTTTTGAGGTCTGCAACTTGCCGGCATTCTAAAGAAAAAACCAAAATAAAAACCAAAATAAATTACGAAGGGTTTATTTTTCCAAAGTTGTTTGAACTCCCTACCAAAGATTGTTCCATGCTTTTAATGGCATTGAAGGTCCAACCTTCATCCTGTACCGGTGAGGTTTTCTTTTTACTAAACAACAAACGCATGTAGTCCAATGCCTCCGATGTGTTCATAAATCCAGTTGAGAAACGTTTCCAGGGTTGGCATAAAATGGGTGATTCTAGCAGAAACAAGAAATGATTGAAAAAAGTAATTTTCCCTTACAAGTTATTCTTTGCAACCCACCATTAGCCGGATGTTGCAACTCATCCATGGGATATAATACAATAATGGTACGATTTGTATTTCCAATTTCATCAATGGTCAGATTATAGCAGGGAACATTGGTGTCATTGTGAATGTAAATATGTGGTCCCAATTCTTGATTAATCATTGTAAAAAGTTCCATATGAAGAGCAGGACGTTGGTAAAATCCTAAAAAAAGTTTATAATATTCTTTATAGAATTTCATCGATAAACCTCATGTGCCCTTACCTATGGGAAATGAACTGAAATCCAATATGACAATTTCTCCAGTCCGGGCAACAAATTTACGAACATCTTTCAAAATGTAACGTAGCTGATTGATGAACATATTCTCATTGACTATCCAGAATTTGTCCGGATCACTTGCATCTCGCTCCCTTTGAACACTAGATTTAAAAGGAATACAATTTAACACAATTAAAAAAATAAATAAAAGGGTTCATATTTATTTACCCAATACTTAAATCCAAATATCGTATTCCGAATACCAATTGTGACCAGACATCAAAATATTGCGAGATAGCGTGTTCCTTAATGAGCATCGACTTGGTGGCACCATAATTCGTTAAATAGGCTCCAGAGGCATGAGTACCTATAAAAAAAAACAATAATATTGTAATAATAAAACCTATAAATGTTTTATATTAGAAATTACACATCTAATAGTCCTCGACAAATTAAATAAAAAAACAATAATATTGTAATAATAAAACCTATAAATGTTTTATATTAGAAATTACACATCTAATAGTCCTCGACAAATTAAATAATTATAATTAAAAAATCCAAGCCTACAAACCTCCACTATTATTACGCCTTAAAAATATATAAAAAAATATTTACCACTTCCACCACTAAAAAATTTTGAAACCAGTAAGGAAAGTAGTAAAGTCGGACTGGGCCGACTATATTATACCCTTCACCACTTTGGGTATATTGTATATATGTATCCTTAAAATTGCATGTCAGTGTTCCCTCGAAGGAACATACTCATGTCTTTCTACAAGCTATGATAAATTGAATAGCATTCGAGCAGATTTAGAGTCGTCTCCGTACCATTTATCGAAACAAAATTTATCGAAAACAATTTATAGCAAAATTGATACATGTTATTCGGTGCGCCGCACCGTTAAAAATTTAATCTCAATAGTGATATTATAAAAAATCGGACGATAAAATGGGAGCTATATCTAAATCTGACACGATTTTCACGAAATTTAACACACATCGTTCTAGGCTTAATTCAGAACCCTATGCCAAATTTCATTCAATTCGAAGTATATATAGGACTTTCGTGCACCATTTACCTAAAATCGGGTGAAACTATATATGGGAGCTATATCTAAATCTGAACCGATTTGCACGAAATTTAACACACAACGTTCTAGGCTCAATCTAGTATACTATGCCAAATTTTGTGCAAATCAAACGATATAAAGGTACTTTGGTGCACCATTTACCTAAAATCGGACGAAAATATATATGGGAGCTATATCTAAATCTGAAACGATTTTCAGGAAACTTAGCACACATAGTTTTAGACTTAATTCATTATGCTATGACAAATTTCGTGAAAATTGAAGGATATATAGGTATTTTGGTGCACCATTTACCTTAAATCGGACGAAAATATATATGGGAGATATATCTAAATCTGAACCGATTTTCACGAAACTTAGCACACATAGTTTTAGACTTAATTCAGTACGCTATGACAAATTTCGTGCAAATCGAAGGATATATAGGTACTTTGGTGCACCATTTACCTTAAATCCGACGAAAATATATATGGGAGCTATATCTAAATCTGAACCGATTTTCTCGAAACTTAGCACACATAGTTTTAGACTTAACTCAATACGCTATGACAAATTTCGTGCAAATCGAAGTATATATAGGTACTTTGGTGCACCATTTACCTTAAATCGGACGAAAATATATATAGGAGCTATATCTAAATCTGAACCGATTTTCACGAAACTTAGCACACGTCATTCTACATTTAATTGTACTGAATTAAGTGCCAAAATTTGTGCAAATTAAAAGATTTGCAGGGACTTTGGTGCACCATTTAACTAAAATATGGGAGCTATATCTAAATCTGAACCGGTTTTCACGAAATTTAACACACAACGTTCTAGGCTCAATCTAGTACGCTATGCCAAAATTCGTGCAAATTTAATGATTTTCTGGGGGCTTTGGTGCTCAATTTAATTGGACGAAAAAATACATGGGAGTTATATCTAAATCTGAACCGATTTTCTCCCATTTCAATAGGGTTCGTCCTTGAGCCAAATAAGTGACTTGTACCAAATTTCATCCGAATCGGATTATAAATGCGACTTGTAGTTTGTTTACAATTTAACATCAACAGACGGACGGACGGACATGCCTAAATCGACTCAAAACGTGATTCTATGCATATTCTCAAAAGGAACCATGGGTCTATCTCGATTCCTTTTGCCTGTTACAAACATATGCACAAAGACATAATACCCTGAACCACTGTGTGGTGACGGGTATAAAAATCCACGCCTATTATTAGTCATTAAAAAGTATTTAAAAAAAAATCCAAAAATATTTCTAAATAAAAAATCTAATCTCATGACTACTCTACTCACCCGGTATAAATAAATCCTTCAATTGCATTTGTCCCATATCCTCGTGACTTCTCATCCAATTCGGATAGATTTTCAAACATTCGACGCTCAACAATTCATTACCACGAAAACTGGCCACATAATAATCCAAACATTTCATTTTTGTATAACGTTCCACATTCAAAGGATTATCATTACGATTCCAGCCTTGGGGAAATTTTAATTTACCCACTTTTTGTTTAATGGCTAGACGATGAATCCCGTCACTGACATTTTGAATCTTTATATAGGGCTGCAGTAAACGTGATGAAGGTTCTTCCGTATAAATGCCATACCATTCGGGTCGTTTGAAACAATCTGAGGCCCAGTTGAGAGTTAATGTTGATTCCTGATACATTTTACCATCCAAGCCAATGGACAAGAAAATGGGACATGTTGCTGGAGAGTAAGAAAATTAATTAATTTAATATTTATTATTTTTATGGTCGATTAATAACACATACCTTGGGCACTAACACCAATAAACAGCAGGCAAAAGATTGTTGATATCAAAGCCATATTTTGTATGAAATTCATTTCTTTTAGATTGACAAAGTCATGGATGTTTCAAAAGAAAATTCGTCTTCGTTGATCAGCGGCTTACGTTATGTGATTGCAATCAAACAAACGCTGACAAATTGCTTGCTACTCACTCGCAAGCTCATGCGACATTATTCTATTAAAATTAATTTAGTTGTGGATATTTCTTATACAGGGTGATCGTCACATTACGATTGTCGACAATGATGGAATAATTGTTATATAGTGGGGAATATGGAAGGTGGTATAAGGGAAATCTGAGGAAATAAACAAAAAATGAGGAAATGAAATTGTGTGTGTGTGTCTGAATTGACTATTTCAAATATCATTTTTTACATTTATTCCTATATAGATTTGAAAATTCCTTGTAGATGACCCACAATCTGAGGAAATGTTGTGTGTGTGTCTGATTGTAAACAAAAAATGAGGCACGAGTTTTGTAGAAATTGCAGTGCCCTACACAAAGTATACAAACTTCCACTTTCCATTTGGCAATACAATTTGGTCACTTCACGATCCATCAAGAATTGACTATTTCAAATATCATTTTTTACATTTATTCCTATATAGATTTGAAAATTCCTTGTAGATGACCCCCAAATTTAAATTAAAAATTCAATATTTTAGTTTTTTTTTCATTTAGATTTTTAATTTTTTCTCATTTTGTTTTAATTTTTTTTAAAGATAGTATATATAATTAATACTAATTAAATAAATTAATTAAATTATTGTAACAAATAGCAGTCTTATGTGTTGCATACAAATTTGTGTTAGCATTAAAATGGGTGGAAGAGGGGGTGAAATGTTAAAGGTTTAATAGTTATGCTTGGTTATATGTATATAAAAACAAGAGTGATCAGTGTATTTTGTATTGTTTCTATTTTGTTGTTGTTGTTTTTTTTTTTTCTATATAATAGCTATGTTAAAAATATCCATACAACACATCCTTTTGTATAATAAAAAACTATAATAATAATAAAACAATTATTAAGAAAACAATAAAACATAAACGTTTTGTTTTTTTTTAACTTAAATAACTTATCGATATAAAACATTAACTGGGATGTCATTTTTGTATGTCTTTTTTACGGTTACTTACATTGTTTTTGTTGTTGTTAATGGTTTTGTCACATAAATACTTAATACTTTACAATTGAAATTCGAAACAGGATTGGAAATCTTAACGTGTTATTGTGATATAAAAAGGAGTGAGGATGATAATTTAACATGCTGAATTGTCTCTGAGAAAAAGAAGAAGAGTAACCTCAAGTCATCTAAAAATATAAGTCCTCATATATGTCATATGAACACATTATTTGTATTATAAGGATGTGTGATAGACCCATTGAAAATGTTTTATGCAGAAATCCATATGAAAACTTCTATGTATAGCAGACTCATACAAGTCTTTTATTCATAGATGACCTCCTATGGTTCTCCTACATATAAGACATATATGGTATTTTACACATAGCATGGGGCTTTTAAACATAGTATACCTCTCTTGTATTTAGAATTTCTCGTATGGGTCTTCTAAACCACATATGAGGCCTTCATTATATTAAAGACTAATATAAGGTATTATATGTATAGAATACCCATATGAGCTCTAATATGCACAGAGGACCCATTAAAGCTCTTCTATGAATAGAAGACTTAAATAGAATAACTCTATGCATATGAACCCAAATAGTGTATACTATATATACAAGACCCCATTGAGATGAGTTTTTTTGTGTATGAGATACCCATGAGAAGTATTCAATGTATAGGAGACCCATATAAGGCCCTTTGATGATATAAAAATAACTTACATTGGCCTTCTACACATAGACGATTTATATCGAACGTATTGCTATACATCGTATGCTTCTAAACAGAGTATGATTTTACATATCATCCCTCTCCTTCTTCCTCTCACAACCCAAATTTTTAACTGAATTCCTTTTCTTCACACACAAAAACAATCTCCATTTCCCTAAACTCAAATTCCAATCTAAACTAAATTAATTCTTAACTAATATTTACAATAATTTTACAACTTAAATTAATAATTCTCTTAACTATTCAATATTCACTTAAAATCTAATTTGAACTTTTATGAACTTATGAAAAAAACTAACAGCGAAAAAATACACGGCAAATATTTACAACAAATATATACATATACAAAACACAATAAAAAAATATTCAATATCTTTGATTTAATGGTAAGTAATGTTGAGTGTGTGTGTTTGTGTCTGTCTGTGTTTTTCGAAGCTTTCGGTTGCAGGGAAGTAGAGATTTGTGGTTTAAGCTATTGACCGGTATCCTTTTCCAGCAGCAGTAGCAGCAGCAACAACATCAGCACCATATTACAGAGAGTATTCTTTAGCTTTGCTCTTTGAGGTAATTCAATTATCCATCCACCAACGCATTTGACCTATGACACTTTTTTTGGTTTTGATAATCTCTGGCTTAATCTCTTTTGTATTTTGTTGTTGGGGTTGTTGGTTTTGTAAATTACTTTGGGCTTCAGTATTCTCTCGGAAATTTCCCACCAAATGTTGGTGTTTGTCTTTTTTGGCCTTTCCCAATCAACTGACTTGCTGTGTTAGTAGATTTACCAATTCCGTACGATCCATATTGTTGAGAGTTTGCATATCCACACCCAAAGCCGTTGCCACAGCTTCAATATCCAAACCAAAGGATGCCAATAGTTCGAGAAATCGCATTTCCTCCCCCGTCACAGGATTTGTGAGAGTGGGACATGAGTGATTGCATTGGGGCCAGCTGCAACGTTCCAGCAGACGTAAAGAACATCTTTCCGGCACACGGGGTACACCACTACGACGATTTATTTTCGAGGCATTGTTTTGACGTTTCTCCACCACCACCATAATCGGTTGCTCCTTTTGCAATTCCCGTTCCGGATCTGCAACATCTGTTGAATTGTGTTCCTTCTTACGCCTCTGGCGTTTCTTGTGCTTTCTACGCTGCTTCTCTTGTTTGCGTTTTTGTTCCCGCCGCTGATGCTTCTGCACATCGGTGGAATTCTCAATCAAGCGTATGGCATTTGTGAGATTACTTTCATGATCGACCATACCCTGATCGGCCATGTTATTTTTGCGACGATTACGTCTTTCTTCACGTCGTTTCTGCTGCTCATGTCGCAGCCGTTTACGTTCTTCCCGTTCGGCTTTGTTTAAACGTTTTCGTTCTACATTATTGGGATTTTGTTTTTTCCTCTGTTCACGTTGTTTTTCGTGACGTCTCTTGGGATCTCTCTTGTGGTTGATGGTGGCCTCAGTGGAACGCTTTAGTTTGTCGTGGCGTTTCTTACGGGGCCTTGTTGAATGCTCCCAACATCTGAGGGCAGTGGGTAAGGAGATGTCATCGATTTTCAAGGATAACCATTCACGTTTTGACAGCACCGCATGGCCAATACACGAGGGAGCAAATACAGCGGTTACATTGTCCAGAGATGAGCGTAAAGCACCACCCATGGCGTGTATATAATTCCATTGGTGAGGTGTTACTGGAGCTGCCACATTATCTGCTCTCATTTGGGCCTCATCAAACAACCATTGGAATACAAAGAGGGGAGCTGTAATTTAAACAAAATTGTGGGTTAGTCTCTGGTTATCTGCAGTTTTTCTGAAATTTATTTCTACTTACTTTTCAAGGTGGGATATAGTCTATAGCCAAAATAACATCTCCATGGTTCCGCTTTATATTGCTCCACACATGCTTCGGGCAGCAAACCCTTCCAGAGAGACCAGCCTTGGCGTACCGCCTCACTGGAGGCCACTGCCGAAGGTGTATAGGGTTCACGATCCAAGAACCAGCCCGAATCGCTAACACCTCTCACTGTAACTTGCAGTTTGCGTTCAACTTGCAAATAATGGGCAATACGATCCAAATTTAACATAACACCCAAACCGCCAGCCGAGGAGCCCACCAACAACAGCTCAGCACCAGGTACACGACCCAAACCCATGGGTATTAAATCAGCAATAACTTGTTTCAAAATCAAGGCGCCCATAAAACGAAAGGAAACTTCGGCCGAATCAATTGTGGAATTAGTTCCAGACCAGGAATCACTGCTGCAATAGGGTACCAAAACATGATTGGCACTATGCCAATAGGGATTTTCCTCGGGTAGGGGAGATAAGATGCCACCAACTGAAAAACAATAACAAAAAGGAAAATAAATAAAAACCCCATCAAAATTGGAAACAATTTCTCAACTTACCATCTCTGGTCTCCGGCCAATCGGTAGAGGTCATCAAATGCCTCAAACGATTCCAGCGCGCCCGGCATGTCTTGACATCATAGCAATGCCATCCTCCCTCCAGAAATACAATCCATTTTTTAGAATTCGGATTTTTGCGCAAATAAAAACTCATTGCCGTTCCATCGTTACAGACAATATTGCGATTTGACAGCGCTGCTCTCTTCAAGGCTCTCACACCACCGCCATGTTCACCATGATGTGCGGCATGACTGCTATGACCGTGAACCGAATTATTTTCCAAAAATTTATTTGTCTGTTCTGCCGCTAGTCGGCTGGCATTTAGAGAATTTCCCAATATGGGATTGTGCAGCAATAGGGGTGCAATGGCTGGATGATGTGTCTGTGACAGATGACTTTGGTGTGAGGGTGCAGCTATGACTACACAGTTTCCACTATAATTTATGGCAAGTGTGAAGAATATCAGTAATTGGGCTAACTGTAGCACCCTGTGACACACAGCAGCTATTCTTCGGTGTGGATTGTATCGATGACACAAACAGTGGTTTATTAGTTTGCTATTACAGTGGGATTGTGTCTGGGATAATGTGTTGCTGTCGCTGCTGCTGTTGCTGTTACTACTCATTGTTGTCTGCAATAAATGAAGAGATACAAAATGTTACAGGATGAGTCAAAAATTGAAACATTTATTTATACAATTTATTAAAATAACAATTCAAAAAAATTGAAAATGGCTTGAGAGATTTTAACAATTTTAAAATATGGGGGAAATTTTAATTTCCGAAGCCTAAATCTCTAAAATCAAACACTTATATATTTTTGAAAGCCACGTACGCTTAGTTTTTAGATTTTTTTGTAAAAATGCCTATTTATACTCTTCACCACACTGTGGTACAGGGTATTATGTCTTTATGCATATGTTTGTAACAGGCAAAAGGAAACGAGATAGACGCATGGTTCCTTTTGAGAATATGCATAGAATCACTTTTTGAGTCGATTTACGCCTGTCCGTCCGTCCGTCTGTCCATGTATTTTTGTGAACAAAGTACAGGACGAACCCTATTGAAATTGGGAAAAATCGGTTCAGATTTAAATATAGCTCCCATATATATTTTCGTCCGATTTAATGTAAATGGTGCAAAAAATATCTATATATCTGCTATTATATTGTTATAAATTTGGCACAGCGTATTGAATTAGATCTAGAATGATGTGTATTAAGTTTTCTGAAAATTGGTTCAGATTTAGATATAGTTCCCATATATATTTTCGTCCGATTTAATGTAAATAGTTCACCAAAGTCCCTGTATATCTTTCGATTTTCACGAAATTTGGCACAGCGTAATGAATTAGATCTAGAATGATGTGTGTTAAATTTCCTGAAATTCGGTCCAGATTTAGATATAGTTCCCATATATATTTTCGTCCGATTGAATGTAAATGGTGTACCAAAGTACCTATATATCTTTCGATTTGCACGAAATTTGGCACAGCGTAATGAATTAGGTCTAGAATGATGTGTGTTAAGTTTCCTGAAAATCGGTCCAGATTTCGATATAGTTCCCATATATATATTGTGTGTTGATTTCATGTAAATGGTGCAGAAAGTATAACTCCCTATATATCTGAACAATTTGAAAAATTTGGTTGCAGAATGACATGTTTGTGGATCCAATTTTATTTTACTTGTCCATTAAAAATATGACGTCTGTTAGGATTCATCTATTGAATATATCCAAAATGGTGAAGGGTATCATATATTCGGTCCCGTCCGACTTTACTACTTTCCTTACTGGTTTTGTTATAGAATTTACTATAGAATAAAATTCACAGACCCTTGGGTCTTAAGTTTTTTCTATAGAAAAGAATCAGCGACTCTATGGTCTTAGTTTTTTTTTCTACAGAAAATTATTCACAAAAATGCTACCACCAAAATACTCTTTATCGTTAACCTTGTTTAAGTTTTTCTCTTAAAGCAATTATTTATATGTTACTCAGTGAAGAGATCTTTCTCTCGCTCTCCAACTCTTTATCTGTGGTAAATAAATTGTACATGAAAGAAATATGTGGTACTATGACGACTTGTTTTGTTGTTTATGAATGTGGCATGCGACGGGTATCTTTGTTTTCTGGTTATTCCTTTTCATTCCACAACGTCATGTTGCCGCTGCTGCTGCCGCCTCCGTTGTTGTTGTTGGTGGAGATGGTTGTGCTGTTGTTGCTGCTGGTACTATGGTGGTTGTTATTGTTTTGTTGTGAGTTGGTCGTTCAGTTGTGATGGTATTGCTGTTGTTGTTGGTTTTGTTTCTGTTTTCTTGTTATTTGTTATTATTATTGTCTTTTCTGTTACTCTACCACTTTGGCGGAAAAACTCGCTTTGATCAAAATGCGAGCAAGAAGCTTTACGATAAGATCAAAGACATTTAACCGACAATGTTGACGAAGATGATGATGATGACGACTTCGTCGGTGAACAACAAACTGTTGATGATCATCGTCATAATAATGTTGGAGTTGTTGTCGTTCTTCTTATTTTTCTTTGGTTAATCATAATCATGATCTTTTGACAATGACGAAGTAAATAATTACAGATAGTGTTTTTTATTGGGACTCTCTCTCACTCTCTTCTTTTTAAGGAGTTTTGCGAACGTAATTTGTGTGATTCCAATGAAATCGAAGAAGAACATGTAACATTTGGATGAGAGAGTGGCAGGGTGAGAGATGGAGCGAAAAAATACAGTAGTGGAATTTATGTACAAACAATGTAGTAATTCGATTTTACTACATTTCTTTTGATGTGTGATAGTAACATCTTCACCGCCGCCAACTACATGCCTCTTCATAGATACCTTTCCTATATGGAATGTATGGAATTCCCCCGGCATTGTTGTGAATGAATGAAATCGTGTTGGAATTGAAAAAAAATACAATTTCTTGATAAGAAAGCGAACATGAATGTTAAAGAGGTGTTGTCTTTCACAGAAAATCAGACGAAGTGTGATCATATTTTGAATATTATGAGCAAATATGAGAGGGGAAAAAACTAATTGGAGGACGTTCAAAAATTCACGAACTGAATTCGATTAAAAAATAAGCTTTATAAAAAAATCTATACTTTGATTTTTGTAATCCACATACAAATATTAAAAAAATATATTCCTTAACAAAGTCCACGTTTTGTTTTTTTAATACACGCTTTAAATATTTAAAAAATATTCCTTACATATTCACGTTATGATTAAAAAATACTCTCAAAATTATTTAAAAAAAAAAATAAATAAAAATATTTTTTTGTAAAGTCTTTCTTTTTTAACTATCCTTTAAGACGTACATAATCCATCCTTTCAGAATTTTTTAGAAGTATTCTTTCAAAAACGCATGCTCTAATATTTTAAATCCATTATCTGATTTTTTAAAAGTATTCTATAATATAAAAAGTACCCGATTTTTTGAAAAAGTATTCCATTAAAAAAAGTAAAAATATATTTTTTTTATAAATTCATACTCTGAATCCACAATTTGATTTTTCAATCCACACTCTGATTTTTAATATTAATTGGTAAAAATAATTATTTTCATTCTGAAAATTAAAAAAAATACCAATTATATTGTCGTATGCGAAAATATAGCGCGGATCGCTTTGATATTTTCCATGAGGATCCAGCTATGATCAAGGACAGCGCCTATAATTTTCGGTTATGATAAGGTAATAATATTGGAATGAAGTGGACCGAAAACTTAATTTTTTATGTTTTTTTTCGGGTCGATCTATAGGTCACAATTGAAAGCCGAACATCACGAAACAACCCACGTTGAAGGGAATCTGGACAAGTAATTAGAAGGAGTGTACTGAATATTAGTAATATTTGTTGACCTCTAGTGGGTCAAGAGGGTGCAAACATCGCGAAATATTGCCCAAGCTCAGAATGTAGGGGAAGGGGAAGGCCACGAATTAGATGGAAAGACCAAGTAGAACAACAACATCTTGGAACGTGGTCTTCCAAATTGGTGGACTTGCGCACAAGACCGACGCGCTTGGAAATCTTTTTTAAGCTCGGCTTATGGAACAACCGTTCTGTAACAAGCCAGCTAAGTAAGTAAGAATGTAGTACCACCGAAAGTTAGATGTTCATATGGTCGACCCCGCCCGACTATATGCTCCGCTCACTGGTTTATAAATATATATTTTTTAATTTACCCTTTGATTTTTTAAAAAATATTCATTAAATTATTCTAACTTTGAATATTTTTTTATTTCAAACTTTTACATTTTTTCCTGTTCTTTGAAAACATGCTTTAAATTTTTATAAAATATTTTTTGTTCTTTGAAAAAATGCTTTAAATGTTTATAATATGATTTTTTAATTTAGTCTTTAAAAATAAAAAAAATCTTGTTAAAATATTCGTTGAAAATTGTGGTCGAAAAATCCTTTAAAACGTTTTTTTAATCTTTTAAAAATATAATTTTAATAAAAATAACGCTTGAAAAATTCCTTTAAGAAATGTTCATATTATCGAGAGTTCACTGTATACATATAAATAATGGAAATATTCAAAAAACAAACAAAAAAAAAAAAATTGTCCCTCTCTCACATTCCTGAGGTTACATGAAATGTGTAACCAACTTTCATAATATAAATCCCAATTATTTAAAAATAACGGCCTAAAATGTGCATTCTGCTTTCATGACTTTTTTATCAATGGATTTGGCGGTAAATTTTCTTTTGTACTTTGTTAATTTTTTTTTCAAAACTAACTCGATTTTTTAATACCACAATTGTCTACAATGCTAACGCTAGCTATTCACGATATTTGTATACGAACAATATATTCTATAGTTACCCACCAATCATTAGTAGTCAGCCAGACAGCTGACTGATATCGTATAATAGAATATCATTCATTCACTGGGTAACCAAGCACCCACCCACCACCAACAACAAACAATGTTATTGTCATCTACTGTTAATGTTGACATGTTTATGTTTTCTGTTCTCATTCTCTCTCTCTACATCTCTCGTTGCCTATCTCTTCTTTTGTGTCATTCCTATTTATTTGCCATAATTGTGACATTTTAATTACCATTTGACAATAAACAACAACTTTGGTTTACCGGATAATTTACAACATTCCTTTGTAACAGTAGAAACAAGTCAGTCAGTCTGTCATAGAGACAGACAGACAGGCAGTTAGACAAGTGGACAGACGTTTTGACAAGTTAGATTTAAGTTTCTAGGAAAGAAAGCAAAACAAAACAAAAACATCGACCCCATGAAAATGAGAAAGAATTTAATAGCGGAGAGAAAATATAGAGAGAGAGAGGGAGAGAAAATAAATCAAGTTTTCTATTCTTGCTGTTGGTGTTATTGTTGCTGATCAATCAATGAGCGTTTATTTTTTTAATGATTGACCGTCTAGCGGACTGGCTGCCTAGCTGTCAGAATAAATGCAGCGCAACCAAACTCTTTGATCCATTGGCAGGCGTATTAATTAAATGGCGCTTGTTCAAAAGCAAAAACAACCACGACAACAACAACGAAACCAATACAAGACAACAAATCAAAGAACAAAGTCTATGTGTGTATGTCCAGTGATCACAGACATTTTTTTAATGTGTCAAAGCGCCTTGAC